GTTGCTGTTTTCTTGCTCGCCAAGGTCATCGTGTATATATACACGTCGGCTCTCTTTCTCTCAAAGAAAATCCCTACTTGCAAAAATCCAAACAACGATTAAGGTAATTGTTTCGATTCTCTCTTCATTAGTTTTGCTGTGTGATTTGTAGAAATCGTCAGTTTTGTTTTGGATTTGCGTCAAGGAAGCTTGTTCTCTGTTAGGAATTTGTTCGAACACTTGGTGTGTATCATGCTTATGAGTAATCGTTGTTTTGTTGCGCTTATCTTGGATCTGTTTTTGCTTCGATTGAGCATCGCAGTGTGTTTCTTAGGCTTTATTGCTCTTCTTTTTTACTGAGATTGGTCGAACACTGCATCGATCTGATGATTTTTGGTTGTTGAGAATTCGAATGGTTTTGGTTTGATGTTTGGGGGTGAATTGTATAAGCGATGTGTTTTGTTTTGTTCTTGAGGCTTGTGTTTGATGATTATCGGATTAACATAACTGGTCTTGATGAGATTAGCTCTTGCTTTGTGTTAAGAGCTCACAAATTGGATCATTCATATACTCAAAGAAGAGATTTTGTGTGTGTGTCTTTTTTTTTTTGGGAACAGGAACAAATGGATACCCAGAACAATCAAACGGAGACCAATCAGACGGAGAACGTTCCAACACCTGCACCAGTTTCTTGCAGGAAGCATGTGAAGGATGAGAATGCCACTTTCTTTGCAAACCTCAAGGGTCACATTGATGAATTCGTTCATGCCTCAATGGATGAACACAAGGCTTGCTTCCAAAACACCATGAACAAGGTTCTTTCTCAATTCTCTATAGCTCCTCAGAACCACATTCATAGTCATATTCAATCGCCAAACAATCTCTATGCCTCAAATGTCTTTGATGCTATTAATCTGTCTGTCTCTTAACTGATCTTGTTTATTCTCTTAGATATTAGAGAGGGCCAAGGCGATTGGAGAGAAGAAGGTTGAGGTTAAGGAAGTCTAGAGTCCCTCGCCTCTTCAGGCAGCAGTCGAGAGTCCTGCTACTTGAAAAATAAACTCAAGTGTCCTCTTTGATTTTTCATGTTTTTAACTTTACAAGTTTCAAAAGTTTCTGTGGTGAACTACTTTCTTTGATGTTCAAAACTACTCTTCAAGTGTTTGGGTGTTAATATAATCATCGAACCCTCATTTTTGGCTATTTATATTCCCATTCTTAAACTAATCATGCAACTTGTGTTTTAGTCTTTTAGACCATAGGTTGAATCATCTTATACTATATGTTTGATATTGATGGACATTACCATCATTGCATCCAATTGGACTTGACTGGTAAGTGGTTAGGTCCCAATCAGGCGCTAGCTAGAAACAAGCCAATATCTTGCAAAAATCGTTCCATGCTTTTTACGTTTTATTACTTTTGTTTAAAAAGAGACCAATATCGGTTGCACAGAAAGAAAAAAGAAAAGACTTAAAACTTGATCGCCAAGGTTATATAGAGGTTACAAATTTTGGGGCTCACGCTTTGGTTATACATATATATCCTCTGTTATAATTAATTATCTCACATTCTTTAACAATATTTTCTTAGATGTGGAAAAAAATATATGTATTTTAATATACTTGATCATTTATTAGTTTAACACTTAAAAGTTGAGGTCATCGAGTACAAATTGGCTAAGGTTGCAT